TTCTTTAATTTATTTTATTTAATATTATAATCCTTCAAAATAACCAGTGGAGCATAAGAACATGTTTGGTTCTGATTCTAAGGATGCAGGATAGTCTTTGACCAGGAGACCTGCTGGTCTGAAAGGCTGAAGTTTAACAACTATTTTCCGTCTGTTACCACCTAACATGTTTTCAACAGAGCAGGAAAATAAGTTTTTTATCTCACCAGCCATGTTGGCTTCTGTTTTTCCAAAGTTAGCCACCCAGCATTTCCTTTAGTCACAATTTTGTTGTAAAGAAATTAAGACTAATAGGGCAACGTTAACGGAAAGTATGATGTAGAGTATTTACACATTTTTCTTATTAATTAATCATGACCTTTACAGTAGATGGAAATGCTTTCATTGGGGTCATGATAATGAAATAGATATTCATATCTTAGAATAAACTGTAACTCTGGCTTTAGCAACACCCACACAACTCGTTTTTTTTAAGTAAGATCTGCTAATAAATGGGAAGTTATTTTAACTCTGGATGGAAAAAACCCCAACTTTTATGATTTTGTTAAGTTTTGCTCTAGTTCCTGTCGCTTGTGCAATTTCTAAATCACCTGATCAGTTTACTAAAATATAAAAATATTTAAGAAAAATAGGGAGAAAAGCAATTCACGTAGAAATAAGGAAACATTTCCATCTTATTTTGCCAAATCGAAATGGAGGAATTATGGGAGAGAACTAGTTTAGGAAGGTCTGTGTGTTTTTTTATCTGACTCTTCATCTAAAACTTTACTGTAAAATAACAACATATTTATTTGGTTAAAGCATAGGCATCATTTTGGAAGAAATCAGAGTTTTACATTAGGCTACCCCTCAGAGGCTGGAAGAAAAAAGAAGATCTAAGATTAGACAAAAGCTTTTTTCCTTTTAGGCTATACAGCTTGTTTACATACAGTTTATTAAGTGGCGTGTGCCATAAAATCCTATAATGTTCTATTTATTGTGTCCCTTCAAAACTTGTTTAAGGTCAGCAGCGTCTGGCTCCAGCAGAACATCCTTCTTTAAATGAAATCATCCAATTGGATTAGGAAAATCAGTAAATTTGTAGCAACTTTAAATTAAATTACTTTAAATTCTGTTAAAGCAATAAACCTTTAAATGTATAGTGGAAGATTTTTAAAAATTTTTTAAAAGAGCCACCGTCGCCACTTAAAAATAAAAAATAATCTCATGCACAACCCTGTATGGGAACGCCTATTAAACGCGTGCACGAGCCCATTTCTCCTCATGCATGCTCTGTTTAAAAGTTGCTTTTTGCATGACTCATACAAGCTTACTTTCAAAAGAAGATATGCAATTTTTCCACTATGTGAGACTCACCACCAGTAAGGGAGAATGGAGACGAGAACGTGCCTTATTTAAACATATAACCGGATTGATGGACAGTTTCGAAGAACAACTTATTTTGATGATCCACCCTGAAAAAGAACATCCTCCACTATACCTTTAATAGACCTTTTAATATTTGTAAATGAATTAGCCTGCAGGGCTGTATTCTGGCTTATTTCTGACCATGAAGCGATGCGTGGCGCCGTACCTGTCAGACAGCAGCATGGTATGCAGCACATTGGAGTCATGTGCCGCCTTCCTGTATGCCACCACGGCTTTGGTCACAACATCATACACATAGAGCCCACTGCCCACAGCTGCCAGGATGAGCTACAAAAAAAATAAATGAACTGTTTTTTCCAACTTCATGATAGCTCATTAGAAAACCATATATATATATACACACACACATATATATATATATATATATA